GGAGAGCCAAGAATGGAGATAGCTAAAATCACCAGTCACTTTAAGAAGCCTTAAGCTTTGTTTCAGGACATCATACTTAGGAAATAATTTGTTCCTTATCACTTCCCTGCAGTCATGCAGTCAGATAAGGGACCAGCAAGTGCTGATGCATGTCAGGTAGATGGATTTCTTTTGCAGCTGCTTCCAGGGCACAGAAGCAATTCATGGATGGCAAAACACACAGAAATTACCTGAGTGAATCCTGGAAACCACACAGCAAAGTTGGTTGGTCTATACACAGGAATTTTGGGTGGTACCCTAAGACGGGTATCCATAGGGTATGAAGTTTTACCTCCAGGAAACTTGTAAGTACTTGCTTTCTTCATGGAGAACATGCCCACAGGGAAACTCTACAGCTTGTATCATCCCATCTCTTTACTTTTACAAGTAGAAGAACCCATCAGAAGGATTTTACCTATGCAGGTCCCTTGGTCTTGTGTTTTCCTGCCCTGATTTCCCTTAAGGAAAGGAGAGTTTGTTTTCTTTTCTTAAGTGAGCCCAAAATGCTATCCAGAATCAGATTGTGCTTGCAAGTGAGGCTGGAACTTAATCCAGCTTTTATATTAATGCCCTCGGGGGCTGAAGTGGCATTATTTTAAATTGCAGAGAGGTATATCAGTATGATAGTTGTGGATTACAGAATGTACTTGTTTTACAATAATCCCTGGAGTGGTAACCAGAGCTTCAGCGTGCTGAACACATGAGCCCATCTGCACTAGGTGCCTGCAGGCAGTGGGAGCCCACCAGAGCTGCCCATGGGCAAGAAGAGGCAGGAGCAGGTACAGGCATGAGCAGCGACACAGTCGACGCATGTTTACCATTCTACTATGCAGCTCAAAGGCAAAAAAAAGATATCAGTAACCCTAGTAGCCTGTCTGACTAGGTCTGTATGGAAATGAGTTAAAGGCTGTCAAGAGAAAGGCAGAATGGCAGGAGGAGGGTCTCTTCGGGAGCTGTATGAAAACTGTAGTTACACCTAGCACATCTTTGGCTGGCATGGCCTCTGGCCACCCGGAATTTCTTTCCTACCCTGGTGTCTGCCCAGTCAAGTAGATGCAAGGCATCCTCAGGCTTTCCAGTGAGTCACCTGCAGGTCCTGGCCCCAGCGTGTAACAAACACTCAGTGCAGGGCACCCAGCCAAAGGAGCAGTGCAGGGTGGTGCCTCAGGGGTGGTGAGCTGATGAAAATTAAGCTGGGTGTGTAGGTATGGCTCAGCATATGTGAGTAACTGTTGAAGAACAAATTCACATTCATCTCTTAGCTTCTTTCTTAACCTTGGGCTTCTCAGTTGAGAGCCCTGTCCCATGGGCTGAGGTTTAGCAGTGTAAGTGCTAGCTAGGTTAGGGGTGGATCCCCAGGTTTAGACCTTGGGCTAAACATGCTGTGTGGACACCACCTCAGCACTCGAACTGCATGTGTTCAGGTTTCCACCTCAGCAGGTATAACCCATAAACAGACAGCCAAGGAGGAGGCAATAAGCAAGCATGTGCAGAGTCTTTCCCAACCAGTGACTCTTTGCCAAAGCAAATTACCATCAGTTGTCATTTAAATGAGAATAAGCTTCACTGATTACTTTTTGCATAATCATTCAGAATGAAACCAGATGTTCCTCAGTTCATGTTTAAAGCTGCAATGCACATTTAAAGGTAGGCAAGTCTTGTTAGTGAATTGGTTTATCTGAAAAAACATCTGGTAATGGTGATGAGAGTATATTTCTGAATCAGAAACCATTTCCCAAGCTGTTAGACACAGCTATATGTAAATTGCCTTTCAGTAATATTAATTATGCCCCAGCATGAGTCAAGCTTTTGTTGTTGTTTTTAAAAAGCAACAGTAACTTCCCCTCAGGAAAACTACTCTGGATCACTGTTAGGTTTGGGTGAGTGTTTTAATAGAACGATTTTCTGGCTTTAATTATAATTTTACTTGCTTGCTACCTTTACATTTCTTGTCATGACACGTTTTCAATTTACAGCCAGGAATCTGGGTTGCAGTGATATATTAGTCCTCAGAAGGAAGCAAGTCTCTCTATCTAAATCATCTAGAAAATTCTTTTTGGTTATCCAGTCTGTTTGAAATTGTCAGGACATCTCCTTTTCCTCCCAGCTTATAGACCTGAAGCATTAGCATCCCCACCTATATATGTTGCTTCCTGCTGGAAGAATATTTATAGCATTTCTGACCTTTGAATGAACTTCTACGAATCAATAACAGCAAAGTGGAAAGAAGGTCAGCGGCAGTTTTCCTCTTGACCGAGTGTTGCCAGTGTTAGGCTTGGAATATCTAAGATACATTAGGAATTACCATAACCACATTTATGCAGCATTTTTGCAGGAAATTTTCAGATTTCTTCAGCACTGTTGTGTAGTTGCCATCTCAAAGATACAAGGTCAGAGCCAATGGTGTCATTGATGGGTTTCTAAGTTGTTGCATATCAATTTTTACATGGCAGAACTTCTACAAGAAACCTTAAGAGACAGTTTAATAATTTTCTTAACTATAATTTTGCCACAGGGCAAATTTAAGTGAACTAGAAACTGTTCTTGTTAATGGCTTTCTGCAACTGAAACACCATTCATTTCCTCCCACTTCAGATTGCAGAAATAAAATTGACACAGTCACACCTAGATGTGTGAGCACAAGCAGCCATGTGAGATGCTTCAAGGCAGGGATTGCCCGTTCACAGTTTTCTCCCTATGACACTACAACTCAAATATATTAAAGGACCTATCCTAATTCCTCAAATTTCTGAAGCTCCTTCCAAAACTGAAGTGTTCCCATAATGAACTAGACATCTCAATGCTGTTAGCTGCCTCCTTCTTAAGGGGGAATTAATTTCCCTTCATTTCACTGCCTAAAAGAAAAGTTCCTAACTTAATTAAATCCTTTCCTCCTCCAAAGCTGGCACCTCTAGAAAGTGCTTCTTGCACTCTCTTTTGCCTACCATGGGATCCTGACCCATTAGTTCAGATTGTAACCGTAAATTAGAAGCCTAAATTCCGGATGCATTGGGTTAAGTGAGATGAATCCCATTGCTAGGGGTGACAGTAATAGCTCTCACAGAGCGAGAGGTCTTTTACCTTGTAATTAGAGTGAATTGTTTCAGTCAGGACTGCCCTTTAGGCCTTTCCATAGAAGTAGCAAAGCAGGGTCTTGCTCTTTGCCAGAGCCTTCTGGTGTTGCTGTAATACACAGGGCTCCTGTTTGCAAATGCAATGTTTTTATTCTGAAAATACCTTTCATAATAGCTCCATTTTTTTCCATTATTTTCCTGATTGAATTGTTTCCCAATGGAGAGACAATGATGACTACAATAACCTTCACAAATTTCAAGAAACTTTTGATAGCAGCTCAAAAGAGTTTTCATAAGTTTCTTTTTCTATGTCTCTGTCATTTGAAGATTGTGTCTACTCGTTCAGCCAGCCATGCAAATACGTCTAAAAATACAGAGAAAATAAAACAAATTTACTGAAGTTTGACAACTTTTGTTTGATCAGAAGTTGTTTGGTCAAAGGTATTTTAAAAGTCAGGAAATAAAGATATTTTTAATGGATGCTATCATATTTATTATTATTATTATCGTTAGGTTCCTGAAAGAAGAACAAAGGAAAAGACGTTGCCACACAAGTTCTACATGAATTGTTAATGTCAACTTTGATTTCCTTGTTTTTTCCTAGGTTATAAAACACCCTTAATATAGAATTGTTTTGTCTGAGAATAAATCCTGTGTTTATTCAAATTCTTAGATTCATAATATTAAAGAATTATTTACTTCCTCTCTCCACATACCTATTTCCCCCTTTTTGCTTCCTTTTTTAATTTCTTTCAGGGACCAATGTACTGCTTCATGTACGTCTTCAATGCTCTTAAACAAAAAGCTGTCTATTTCACTGTTCTCCGGAATTTTCATTCCAACTTCCAGCACTCTCTGATCAAGTGAATTTTCCTCTGTCTAACTCTTATTCCTAACACATTTTGAGTACTTAGAAGAATTCTATAAAGCAGAAGAAAAATTGAAGTCCTGATCTTACACCTAAGTCAGATCTCAGCACTGTATTGGCTTCTAACCCCTCTGTCTCTAGTATAAAATTAAGACATATTTGATTGAGACCGACTAACAAAATCAACCTTTTGTTGCACCAATTCAGTAGACAGAAGATGTTAATATTAATATTTCTGATGAAATTCTAGTTTGGTTCACTAAGACTCCAGCAAGAAGCTAATAAGTGTTCATCTCTCAATAACACATGGATCTGAAAAAGCAACAAGGTTACATGGACAGCAGGATAGATCCATCTGCTTTAGGACCAGCTAGAAACAAAGCCTATGGCACAGTTGGGCAATGACCAGGGAGTTTCAGTTTCTACTGATACTGCCAGTGTGAATGTATGTCAGTGTGGATTACACCACCAGCAGCAATGTTGTCCACTCATCATTTCTTCAAAACTGTATGACAGCTGGAACTGCTCTTTATTTTTGCTGATCTAAGGCTGGTGAATGCCCTCAAGAGCTAATTCAGTCTGTTTTGTTGTTTTCATGTCAGTGTTTAAAAACCATAGCTCATTTGTCTGTGTGACAAGGTACATGTTATCTCTTACAGTCTGTTTTCTCTCATGGTTTCACCTTGCATTTTTAGCAGCTCCTCCATTTGCATGGTCCATGTGGCTTCCTGCCTTCACTGCTGCAGTATTTGTGAGGCCAAGCCCATTACTTTGATTCCCTAGCTCTTCTGTAATCCGTGCAGACAAGGCTCAGCTGCTTCTTTTCTCACAAATCTCTGCCTACTGCCAGCTACCAAACACCTTGACTGAATCTGCAGTCACTACCAGAACTTAAGTCAGATACTGGGGCCGGTTTAATGTCAAAAAAGATCAGTCACGCACAGGCAACTTGTCACACATGTCACAAATGCAGGAGGATGGGCTGCTCTCACTAACAGCATGCAATCTGGTGATTTCAGAGAATGACGAGGAGCAGGAGGCTCTGCCGTCACTGGACAAGCCCGGCTGGTATTCTCAAGGTAATGCTACCCAGCTCTTTGATCTGCTGAAGAAGATAACTGGCAAGCTGGACCCCAAGGTATGTTTAGAGTAAATCTTTCTGGAAATACAGTTTCAGTCAAGAATTCACCAGGCAAGTTTTCATTAAGGTTTTTGATGTGATGGACCCCAAACTTTTGTTCTGGTTAAGCTTGCTGCTGTCTAGCAGCCTGCAGCCCAGAACTGGAAGTAGCATATTATAGTCTTCTTATCGGTAGAATATGTAAACTTTCTGGATGTTTTATTCTGTATGAATGATCATGTATTTTGGCTTCTTTATATAATCTCACTGGGAAACAGATTAAATAGATTAAAACTAGGATTATGTTATTTTAAGTACAGGTCTGTATGGGTGAAAATGCCATTGAAGATGGTGTGACCACATTTTCTCTAGGGAGTAAACTCCTCCCTGGACACAGAAGAGTTCTGTGTCACCAAGAGATGCTCCATATTCTCTCTTGTTTCCAATGTAATCCAAAACTTGTTCCTGTTTAGTGTATTTTCTTGATAGTCATTTAGCTGCTTCTTAATAGCCTGTCAGGCTATTTCTGTCAGTCAAAAAACTCAGTGATGTCCCTTGTGCCGGTCCCAATCAAGTATCCCCGTTCAGTAACCCTGGAGGGCAAGAGTGAGGAGGGTGTTGTGAGGCCAGCCTTTCCCTTATGGAGCTGGTAGAAGATAAACTCCAAACTTGATATTAATAAAATCTCTTTATGTCATGACCAACTGTAAATGTGGAGGAATTTTTATTAGGTTGTTTGAAACCTCTTTTTCTCTCTCTGTGAAATACAGTTTGCTTGTGTTTTCCTCATATACAATGAATTTTAATTTGCTTCTTCCCTTGTAGGTTGTTTATTTTGGTGACAGCATGCACTCAGATATTTTCCCAGCTCGTCACTATAGCAACTGGGAAACTGTCTTCATCCTAGAGGAGCTTCTAGGGGACAAGGTTACAGTGCCTGCAAAGGCTGAATCTGAGCCCTTGGAGAAGAAAGGAAAATATGAGGTAAGGGTTCCTCGCAGATGTTTCCTGGAGCAGAATAAAGTAAGTTACAAAAAAGCCTCATACCACCTGCACTGAGAATGAACCTGCTTATCTCACCATGCTGGCACCATCAGCATCCCCCAAAGACATATTCTCCTTGTCTTACGAGGGGGATGCTGTTCTGCCCCAGCTTAGGCCTTGCACGAGTGACACAGAGCTTCTATCTGGAGCTAAGTCATGGATCTCAGAAAAAGAGCTGAGTGTGCTCTCCCTTAGCAACAACCCATAGTCTTCTCATTTTTAGTAACAAGAACCTGCCCTCCATCCTACAAGGAGAAATTTCATGGACACTTATCACAAGTCCAGCAACTGAACTCTGCTGAGTTCATGACATTTCCCTGTGTGTTGTGGCCAACTGTAAACATAGGAGAATTTTTATTAGATTGTTTTAAAGCTCGCTTTCTTTCTCTGTGAAATACAGCTTGCTTGTGCTTTCCTTATATACAAAGAACTTCTAATTTGCAGCTTACCTCATAGGTTATTTATTTTGGTGACAGCTGCTCTCAGATAAGAGGGACTGTTTCAAAATCTGTTCCAGTGCAAACTGCTGATAGTTACTTCAGATAAATGGACTTTGAGGTTGATCACAGCTGGGAAGCAGGGCCTTAGCACTAGTGCCAGCCTTTAATTCTCTCACAGAACTTGAAAAGTTATTATGGTTTATTCATCTCTCTACTGGCAAAGAACAAAGCAGATAGGGAACGGCGCTCATACGGATGATGGGGCAGCAATGTACCTCCGGCATGTCCACTGTAGGTAGGAATTGCAGTGTAGCTTCACTTTCTGTTTAGAGTATTTTAATTTCATATGCTGCTAAATAAATAGGTCATTTTCTTCTAGTTGCAGAGAGATGTGCTTTTTGCACTTTGCTTTGTAAGGCACTAAGCTTCATTTTTCTGTTAAAATAATTACTCTTTATGATTAAAAAGTTAACTTACTGATAGAAAAAATATAGGGAGGTAGTTTTATACTAGGTATTTTTTAATCTGACTAAGAAGTGTTGTAAAAGCCAGTTTTCAATGGAAAAAAGGATATCTTCAATGGGAATAAAACAATATAGATGTGATATCTATTGCTCTACTTTTAATAGATATATCTTATATTTTCACCCACTATCCTGATTTCTAAACTAAGGTCAGACAAGGATGGTTCAGTCACTGAAATAAGGAAATGTAATCATTGATATTTAGGCTTTTTCCTAGGTTGCAGAAAAACAAAAATTAAGACAAAGAAACTCAGTCTCCTGTCAAGAAAAATGTGTTTCTTAGTAAGAAAGGTGGGATGCAGGTGGGGGGAAGGAAGAGTTATTAGTAGCACTACATGGGTTAATGTAATTTGATTTGAGGAATTAATGCTTTAAAAATAACTCATTCTCCTCTATAAATTTCTTCATTCTCTGACTGGAGATTGTGCTACATTGTTGCATCTCTGTAAGGTTTGTGGGATTTTATTCAACCATGGTTTCTTAAGCATGTTCCATGTATGCTTTTGAAGCACACATTTTTGAACAGAGAGCCAGAAAATGTTTCTCTTCCTGGAAGTACAAAGAAAGAGTAATTGAGCAATGTGTTTCTAAGCCCATGATGATGATTTGGTTTTTTTCTTATTGAAACACCTCTGGTCAACTGCTCACAAGATCCATCTTCTCTATCGCATCAGTTATCAAGTAGGAAATTGAGACTTCTAGACGTGGGCTTGACATTTCACTGACGCTGTAGTATTCCTGTCTCGGGGAGACACCACCCCTGCCACACACAACCCCTGTTCAGTTTACATCCGCTACCAGTGACAGCAAGCAAGCAAGGGAGAAATGAATTGTGTTGATTAAAGGAACCTGAACCAGGGGGGCCATGGCAGGTCAGTGGTGTTATTTCATTACCACGCTGCTCACTGGAGTCTGAACAACAGGTCACATCCATATCTCTGCAGTTGACTGGACACCACTAACTTAACAGGACTAGTTCAAAGGGTCTCCCTTTACAGTCCTATGGAAGTTTTATTTTCATTCCCCCAAGCAACTTCTCCTGTTAACCCTTTGGTTAGGAAGGGAGAAAAGCCAATTCAAATGAGTGTACGAAGTCAGGTCCTTTTGGAAAATTAGTCACAAACAGATTAGTTTTCATCTGGTTCATCAGCCTTAGCATTCATTGGCAATTAAAAAAAATACACTGCTCTGTGTGTGCAGAGAGGGACTGAAAACTTAATACATGATGCAATACTCAATTCTATCACTCTTTACAAAATACTATTAAAGAAATAAAGTATGACTTTAATTTGCGATTGCATCTTTCAAAAGGAAATTATAAAAATCTGTTTTCAGTTGTTTGACTGGAGTTTCATCACTAAAAGAGGGAGGGGAAGAAAACAACCTTCTCACACACAAACTGTGACTTGTAATTTCCATTTTCGTTGGCAGTTTTTGTCTTTTCCCTTCAGTTAAATGCATGATATAAGCCAGATACACATAGCTGTGAAATTATGGTAACAACTACAGTTCTTTTAAGTATATGAGTCATAACCAAATAAGCAAGAGAATAGCAAATTAAAAACTATTCATGCAGTTACTTGGCTCCTAAGTGAATTGCAGCATGCAGGGGGAAAAAAATATGAAGCATTGTGTTGAAACAAGATTTCCCCCCCTCCCAGAATGGGGTTTGTTTGCTTGGCTGAAGGCTTTGGTTTTGCCTTCTGTTCTTTAAATGTATGATCAATTCCATCAATGAAAACTCAAAAAAAAAGCTGAAATTTGTCCCAGGATTTCGAGGAAAATTGTTGCAGAGGAGCTGTAAAAACCTTAGGCTATAGGAATTAATGGAGCAGAAATCAAAGAATTTTTTTGTGGATATAGATGACATTTTTTGCAGTTAGAAGGGAGAACTTAATTTTTACAGTATTGCCTAGTGTCTGGTTGGTTGTAGGCATCAGGGCCCTTATTCCCCTGAATTTCCATGCCTCCCTTGCTGTGAGCATAGACAATTTACTTTGTGCCTTTTGGCTCTGTTTGTTTCTTTATTCCTGTTTATCTTTAACACAAATCCAACAGTACTTTCAGGAACAACCTGATGGGCTGTTTTGGAGCCTGGTGAGTTAAAGCAAAGTCTTTAAGCCAATATACTGAAGTGCAATGCATTTTATTTTAAGTCTGCTTATAGTGATCCATATGGTAGTTTAGGTACAATATCATTGATGAAATGTTTTATATTTGCACATGACTTGTAAGGGGGCAGGTTCTGTGCGACAGAAGTTAGACCAGTGGCTGACTTGTCCATCTGCACACCCAGCATAGGTGTGTTATTCAGGAACATCTGGTTGTTGTGACCAGCACAGCTGTGCTGGCAGCAACATCTCACGTGCTTACTGTTATACCAGCAAAACTGTATTTTGAGCACTGATTTTTTTTGGCATCAGGAGTCTGTGATGGTATTACTTCCTTGGCACAAAGCGTACAGCCAGCAGTACCATCCATCATATTGGATGCCGTAAAATATTCCTCATGCTCTGTGCTTGGCACAAAGATGATGGCATAGATGGCAAATCTCTACCTAATTAAAGCCTTTAAAAAATACTAACAGCTTGACCTGTTACCCTTGTCTCCCTTACATCTTTCTTTTTTTCATCTCTTTACCAAATGTAGAAAAGCTTCAGAGCTCAGCTCCCTGCCTACTTGTATTTTAGAAAGGTCATTTTTAAGTTGACAAATTAGTGTTACCCCAGGGTCCTATTAACAGATTCTGTCTGCTCTGTTAACAGGCCCTGTTTGCCTGCAGTTAGTAAAGCAAAAGCATTGCAGGTGTTTTGATTTCCAGGAAGACTCTGGGACTTGGGGAAGCTTGGTACCATCCTTATTTCCCTGAAGTCTAGACGTTTTCCTTAAGGCTTTGTACCCTCAACTGATACAATCTATGTTTGACCTACTACTGTCTGACCAATATGCCTGAGAGCTAATCCGTATGCCTGGGGCATTTACATGAGAAAGAGGGTTTACTCAGCACTTCCCAGGATCTACTGTCCTGCTGTGAGAGAAAATCCCATGTCTGGGGCCTGCAGAAGTGGCTAGGGCATCTTCCAGAGATGCTCAGCCCCACTGTTGAGCATGTGCCTCCGGGCATGTGAGGAATAGCCATGTTAAGAGCAGACTTTTGCCTCATTTCACAGATGTACAGAGTCACAGTACGTGGTCTGTCCTTATGGCAGGCTATGTGTGCTGCCTGTGAGATATGGACACCTTCTAGGCATCAGGTAGGGATGGCAGCACGAGCGATGTCTGATGCTTCCTAAAGATGTGGGCAAAGTTTTGACAGCTCTTTTCAGGTTTGAAATCAAGATTTAACCTGCCAAACCTGCCCTGTAATGTGGAGACAAGCCAATAGCAATGGCTTATGATGATGGGAGCTCTCTACCACCTGACTTGATAACAAGTCTCATATCTAACTGGATTTGGTTTTACTAAGGGCTTGGGTTGTAAACCCAAGGCATAACTTCCCCCTTCTTAGTAAGGAAGAAATTCCCATGCTGAGATTCAAACCTCTGAAAAAAATCAGTTCATGTCCTAAGGTCGCATTTTTAATTGTCTGTTGAACCAACCACGCATTTCAAAAAGTGGAACCCTCACAGTTTTTTCTCTTGTCAATAAACAAGGCACTGTCTTTTGTGCAAAGGCTTGTATGGGCCAGCACCGGGATTGCTGTTTTGATTAATCACCTGAACAGCTGAAGAGTTTTCTGCATATGTCATCCAGCTGGCAAATGGATTTTAAGTCAGCACAACATCTACATTTAATTATAACTGATGTAGAGACCTGGGATTTGCATGGAAAGACAAAATTTGGCAAACTAAAAAAAAAAAAAAAAGTGAGATGTGCCCTTTGTGTAAGAGGGGGGGAAAAAAAAAACAAACCACGAAAAGCTCAGGACTTAAATTCTTACTTTGAAACAAAAGATAGGAATTTTTTTCAACTTATTTACATCAGAAGACAGAAAGTAATATCTATATTTGTTGAAATCAGTGCTTCCTCCCCACCCCCAGCTATACTCAGAGGAAAAACTGTTACACAGACTCACAAAAGAATGGTTCTGTGTTTGCTGACGTGGTCTGTTTGGCTGGATCAACAGCTTTCTTGTGATCAAAAGATACAGGCCTCTGTTATAAACACAAATGATTCCAGGAGATTCTCGAAACTATTAAGAAAGGGGTTAAATGGAAACTAAAGTACAAAAGTTCACAAATCTGGAGGCACGCACTACAATATCTGTTCTCCTATGCTTTGAAGGTCTGAGAAGTTACTTTGCACACAAATGACTTTAACAGATTTTCTGTAGTGTAGTTCAGAGGGTGTTTTTCCAGTTTTTCATCTTTCTGTAGATGTCTCATGGAGTTTTTCTCTGATTCCTCATGACAGTATATAACAGGTTGCAAGAGGAACTGGTAAAAAATCAGTTTTCCCAGTGCTGTGCTAATGCTTTCTTTAAAACATAATTAGTCTAGATGTTGTTGTCTGAAAATATAGACGAAAAAATCAAATTTTCAGAATTTGCTACACAACTGAGAGGTTCTCCATGGATTCTGTGGCTCTGTTTTCACTCTTTCCTCAGCTCAGAAACAGATAACACAGGTGCCATTCATCACAGTTACTCCATCCAGCACCAGGAAGCTCTTTTTCCCTGAGGAGAACATCCAGGATGCGTTACGGTCTGTGCCGCAGCTACCCAGCCTCTCCAGCGGAGAAGGGCAGCAGGCAACTCACACTATCAGAAAGAGAAAAACAGGGGAAAAGGAAGATTTTTTTTTTTTTAAGGGAAAAATATTTAAAGTTAACTTTCTATGTCCTAAGAAATCCATTAATTGCATAAAGAGAAGCTTGGGGACTTTTGAGAGGAAGACTGTTACTGTCTGTCTTTATATTTTAAAGTCACATTGCCCCTGAGGTACAATACAAGTTTCCCAGAATCTAGAGTAGTTCCTTAAACTAAAACTTGTAGATAGATAAAGACATATTTATTTGTTTTTCTTTCAGGGAGATCAGCTCAAAGCTCCTTACTTTGTATCTAAACAGTGGGGCTCTTTCTTCATGGACAGAGTACCAGGCCTGGAAAACGCAGAGGAAACCTTAGTTCGCACGTGGTCCTGTAAATGTATTAGCACTTACAGTACTATTGCAATCCCTAGCCTTGAAGCAATAGCAGGTAAGGAAGATGGCTTTTTTATTTTTTGCTAATGAACATGCAGTATTCATGATAAATTGGTAATGCTGTAGATCTGGTTTTGAGATTACATGTATCTAAAATACATTGGAAATACTTTGTTCATATCTTGCAACAGTGCAAGTGGCCAGTTGATTACTGTGATGTTTGTGCCAATTGTTTGTTGTTGCCAATTAATTGTTGTCCAATACACCCAGTTTTTTTGTTTGTCTCTGCAAATACTAGACGTTTAATTTATACCCTGTTAGAAATAGTATGCGACATTTAAAAGATGGTAGACAAGTTCCTGAACTTGGTTAGGACTTCCTCTGACCAAGTATGTTGCTGTTTCTACTTTTGATGGTGAATTAGATTAGGAAACAAACACATACAAAGTCACTTGAGGTTTTTATACTTCCAAATATGTTTCTCTCTAATCTATCTTGTTATACTTCCTCTGTCAGCACATTATAACTTTGCAACTGCCCTACGTGTCAGTGGATCATGGGGTGGTGAAGACCCTCTATCTATATATTCTCAGTCTGTCATTTTGCATTACTGAATTTTATCAATACCTGTACCTAAAGAAATAAACAAAATTTTAAATGAATGAGGTGCTTAGCTGTATGAAGAACACAGCAAGCATTTAGTTTACTAACCCCTCGGTTCAGCATCTGTTGCTACTTCATGCATAAGACCAAGGAAAAAAAGGTTTGTTGCAAGAGAGCATTCCAGACTTGCCCAGCAGTTATTTCTACAACAGGACACATGATAGACCTATTCTTTGTGACCATATTTTAAACATGCACTTATACTGTAAGGATATCTCAAAACAGAGCAGCCATACCAGTGCCACAATTTATTTATTCTTCTGATAATTTGCCATTTGGCAGTCTGTATTTCAGCCTAAAGGTGCAAAGGCAAAATATACCAAGGGAAATTGCCAACAGAGGCATAACTTCTGTAAAACTCCCATCTAATACTTTTCCATGGCCATTCTGTGGCTTGCTTTGGAAGTGTTGGCCAAGACAAAACACACTGATCAGTCACATTCTGAAACTCTGCCTCCCAGACCTGCCCAACCCTGTAACCACAGCTCAGTTTGCAGGACTAGCAAGGGCTCTCAACCACAAATGTGCCACCAACTTTCCAGCTACAGATGAAGGGGTGAGAACCAGAAAGGCATATCTGGGTAGTTAGTGGGTAGGAAAGCTGCCTGTCATCGGCAGCAGAGCTCTTGCAAAGCCTGTTCCTCCACTGGGAGGGACACTGTGTGCTGTCTGTCTCTGCGTTGAACCACTGCTGGGGCAGGGGCTGATGTCTGTAAAACTTAAACCCCAGTCTAAAGGACAGGGGAGAAATAACGTTTTTAATTTGCAGCTGTGTGCTCAAAAGCAGACTCAAAGCTTCAGATACAAAAACATCACTACTTTCTTACAGAGAGAGGTATTTCTTGTTTGTTTGTGTGGAAGAGCAGATGTTCATTATTATGGATGTGGAGGAATTCCTGACTCCTCTTGTCTGACTCCTGTCACAGCAAGCTGTGAAAGACCCTGCTTTGCCAAGCCCTGAAGTTTTTGGCTGCAGTTTGAAGTCATAGCTTAGCTGCAGTTATTTGGGAATAGCTAGCTAGAAGAGATTGAAACAGGTTATGTGAGTTTGATGTGCTCCAGCTTTCCCTTTTCTACTCATCTGCTTTAATTACCAGCAGAGGACTTTCTACTGCCAAGCTGCAAAAACATAGACCTTTCCTTGAGATCCCCTCAGTCCAAACATGCAGCCAGGCTGCTGGCATGCTGGCCATGCAAGTCCAGCTCCCAATTATCTGCATGCTGGCCATATGAGCCCAGCTCCCAACCAGTGGTGTGCTGACGGCAAGCTCAGCTCCAGGCCACCGGCTGGCTTAGCCTTGGCAGCACCTGACTCAGCCTGACCCCGCCAAACAAGCTGCCACCTCACTGGAGGTGTGCTGCAGCCTCCTATGAGCTGGGGGTTGACTAGAGCTTCTCTATCAACGTCTGACCTGGCTTTTGTACACCTACATGAGCAAGGGTAAGCGCCACGTACAAGTAAGTATCCCAACAGCTTGCCATCTGCAAAAACATTTGGTGAAATGCAGACAATTGCTGCAATGCTAACTTCAAAATTGGTTCTTGTTGTTTGGGTGCAACACGTATCTTGTCCATAAAGAACAGCTTGGTTTACTTCTCAAGGCACGTTTTTCATTGAAAAAGATTATTCCAAAAAGTATTCAATGTTAGTGAATACTAGCAATGTTTTACAAAAATAAGTCAGTTTTCATCAAAATTCATATGAGAATTCAGAGAGTTATCAGAAATTAATTTTGGGTAATAAAGCCCTTCAAGCCTGCTTCCATCTTTTTTAAAGAGAGGAAATATGGAAAAAAAATAAAAATAAGCTATAGATCTGAATTGAGAAATTGGGATAGAAATAACTTTGACCATCCCGTTTTTTCAGCAGGATGTTGTAAGTTTGATGCAGGTGGCTGCTGATAGTTTCACCTGAAGAATTTATGCATGTAACTAAAGGGTACAATCTCAGTGTTACCAAAGAGCATTGCAGAAAAGAGTATTATAAGGAATGCTGCTGCTGGAGTTCTTGTCCATTCAAAGTGTAAAATAACAAAGCACGTACACAAATTGGAAATTCAGTATCTGACTAAAAAGGGGTTTGCAATCAAAGATGCATCAGAAAGTATATTTTGCTTATTGCTAAAATTGCCCAAAGGATATCTTCTGTGTGTATTCCTCAGTTTTGAGTCCAAATCAGATACAGGCTATATTGACAGTACCTGGTTAATAAAATAGTAGAAACCAATGCCCCTACTCCTGTTCTACGTCTCATTCACAAATCCATCTGTTTCTCTACTTTTCTGCTATTGAATCTCTCCTCATTTACAGCTCCCTTACAGATTTTGACCATTTTCAAGCACAATGATATCATAAGACAGATGTTCCATACCAGGATCCATTACTGTGGGAATGTTACATTAGAGCTCCCACAGGAAAATTAAAAGGTGTAGGGGTCTCTATGAAAAACACCATTTTGCATAAACTACAGTTTCTAAGACATCCTTCTCCACTTTAGAAAGTCAGGTATGAGCCAAGTAGAGGTGGATTGTTCTTGTTTATCCCACCTGAGTAATCTGAACTTTAACTCCAAGGAAGGTGTCTGCTACTCTTTGACCATTTGATCAAATTTCCAGACACCCATAATAATAATCCAACAATAATTTCAATCATTTCAAAAATACCATTTCAGGTGGTTATTTGATTAGCCGTTCTTTGATCTCAAAAATGATATGCATATTTCAAGTTAATGCTTTTCCTTCTGATCTCATTATCATTGGTAGTTTTATAAAACTCCCACTTCTAAAAATTCCAGGAAGAGTTTTAGAGCTTAGAGGGAATTTTGGAAGGATTTTTTGTTCTTCATTGCAAAGAAAAGCTAAAGAAAGTGGGCTCTAAATCCTAATAAAGAGCACACAAAAACTTTTTTTTTTTTAATTTCATGATTGTTAACCTAATCTCCTGAATTTATCTCTTAACCACTGAATGATGAGGTTTGTTATAGGATTAAAAATTACCGCAAGCAAGAATAGGAGATTGAGCAATGTTGCAGCTCAAGAGAGTTTCATTTCAGATAAGAATTAGTGCAAATAAAATGTAAAATGTTTTATGGAGGCAGAGTTCATTTCACACTTTGGAGGTTAGATAATCAAGCTTGTGTCATGCATGAGGATAATACATTTTTTTAAATCTTGCATGTCATATGAAATCTTATCAGGGTTTGCCCATATGTCTGCATAAGTTTTTCTTCATGCATTATTGTTATTTCAGTTGCTGGAACAAGAGAAAAATCTCCATTATAATTTATCAAATCTGTCTCTTTAAAGATGTCTACAGATCTGCACCCTGCCACTTTCTGCAGGAGTTTGAGTCGTCATCCTGCTTGCTGTATAAATATAATGATAAAATTGCCAGTGAACCATGACAAAGAAGTTCATGTTTCTGCTTAGAGTTGCAAATTATCTGCACAATGGAAAGCCCAAGGCAGACGTGGCTGGGGCTCCAGAACTGGCAGTGTGTGGGTTGCAGATACACAGGTCTGCCCGCTACGAACTGCAAACTTACACACCATCTTCTATACGTATTTTAAAAGGTGAATGCCCTTAAGGAATCAGCTACTACCACAGAAGTCATGAACTTCACTAAACATGTAGCCATATGCTCATTTCTATATCCTGAACAGCATCATTCATAATCGTTGCTGAAGTAAAACAAAAAAATCCCCCATATTTTAACCTGTTTTTTTCACTGGCATTACATCATTCAAAGTCAAATCCAGCTCCTATTAAAATTAAATTAGTCTGTCCTGTAACTAGATTGATAATTATGTGCTCTTATTCAAATGATACAATAATTTCTTTAAACATATAGAACAATATTATGCATTGTTAATTAGCAGTAACCTTTTATGTTTAATGCCTTATCTTACAACCATGCTTTTACTTACCAGTGTAAGAATATATCTGGATAATAACATCTAAAGACTAAGTTTATCAAAATGCTTTGGGAATTTAAACTGCTTTGGGTCTTAACTGCTGTAAATAATAGTTGCTACTACATGGCCAAAGAGGTCATTTTTATAATTAAACCTTTTATGCAAATAACATATTTTTATGTCTGGTGAAAAATTGGTGTACATACACAACAGCAATGTTTCTGGGTTTTTCTGGTTCTGAGGTTTCATGCAAGTAAAAAAAACAGATAATAAAGATAACTGACTAGGGAGAAGATACGTGTTCTATATATATGAACAGAATCTTGCTTTATATGTCAGTTGAAAGGCATCAGATAATGTAAATCAGATTCATCTGTTCCAGGAAACTAGATTCAATGTTCTTCTTTTAAGAGTAAGAAAAACATGTCCAACACAACCAGCAAATATAATGCTTTTTTTTAGCTGAAAAATGCAACTGA